GAGTCCTACGATGCCCTAATTGGTGTCGGCTGTCAATACCACAGGTTTTTTTAACGCAGCAAACCTTTAGTCAGAGAGACGCGCAGAGTGGAATAAATGTGTGAGCGGATTACATTCAGGGAAAAGAGGAAAATCCTGGTGCGGTGCTCTTCTATCCACTAGTTTGTTCTTCAGTATCCCCTTCAATCCTGTTCTCCATTAATCCTGCAGCCCACTGGCAGCCGCACGGCCGAATTAGCTGGTTGGTCTGAGACTCAGACACACACAGATACACGAAAAGAAGCAGACAAAGCAGGCGGAGATTGTGAAAAGCCCACAATTAGGGTTAAGGCAGTAAATTGCTGCAGTGGACTTCTGCGGTGTGGCTAACTTTGACTGTCCCTTCAGTGGGATCTCATTAGTCCACTGGGAGCAGCGCTGTTGTTCTTTGTGCTAATGCTCTTCTGTTGTGTTGCACTCTTGTTAAATGAGGACTCAAACACTGGGTCCTATTAAAACTCTGTCCTGTGTTCAGGTTTTAGTCTGACGTGGCAAACAGCCGGTTCATTCAGGAGTGTCCTGTAAGCTGCAAGTATTTATAAATACCCTAATTTCCAGACTATCGAGCGTACCCACTAAATTTAATATAAAAATAAATAATTTTGTACTCTATTGATCCTTTATTTGGGAAATTGTAGTGTTGGCAGCAGACATGCTGTTATCAGGCTCTCTCTAGCAAGCGCCAAGCATGTCGTTCCTCTGGGAATCGAACCCAGGACTATTCTAGCAAGCGCTAAGCATGTCGTTCCTCTGGGAATCGAACCCAGGACTCTCTGCTCTCTACAGACATGCTAATCGCTACACTATGGAACTGACCGGGAAAAAAATAATTGTACATGAACGCTACACTATGGAACCGACCGGGAAAAAAATAATTGTACATGAACTTCACTAGCCATAAATCAGCCGCATCATTGTTTAAGTATCAGGGTTCAAAGTGTGTGAGAAAAGTAGTGGATTATTGTCCAAAAACATACAGTATAATCCTGTCAAATGTTTGGCTTCCTTTCACTTCTTCTTCACCAAACCTGGGCTCAGTTAGTAACGAGTGTCACAGCTGTATTTTTTTATTTTCTTTTTTTCATTTTCTGCCCTTTAGAGAAAAGACACTTTTCTCAGACCGGTGTTGTTTGTGTATTAAATTATATGACAAAATGACAGGGTGATGGTGCGCAGGATAGTTATCAGCGACCTGTCAATCTTGGCCTGCAGTTAAAGGTTAATTCACGACAAGTACAAGTGTCATCTCTGTGTGGCTGCTCAGCACGCCGCACACACCGACAACGTCTCCGTGTCACTCACATCTTTTTTCTACGGCCTCTTACTGTTCCGTCTGCCATCGTTACATCATGGCCTCCTCCTCATTAGATAAATTATTGCTTCCCCTTCTGTCTCCCGCTCCTGCAGTGATGGATGGGCCGACCGTTACGAGGTGGTGGAAGGTTACGAGCAAGAAGCCGAGGGGGGAATCACCATGAAACTGCAGTCAGCGATTGTCAAGTCCTTTGACGACTACTACCTGAAGCTGCGTCTGGAGACCAACACCAGGAACCCCTGGTTTCCTGAGTTCTGGCAGTATCGCTTCCAGTGCCGCCTGCAAGGTCACCCCCAGGAGAACAAGAACTACAAGAAAGTCTGCAGAGGTGGGTGACAGTTTTTAAATGAAGTTCCCTTGTTGCTGTTAGTCAATAAAAAAAGTGATTTCATTCAAACCCTTGCTAATTCTGTTTTGGTGCAGTTCTCAGTGCCAGTAGATACTGACTGTGGTGCCGGAAAAGAATATTAACAACAGCTGTGAATTTGTCTGTCTTCTCCTCCACTGATATTTTTTTTTCCAATGTTGCTCTCAAAAAGGCGACCACGGTAAATCTGAAATTTTGACTTTAAAATATTTTTGAAAACTATTGGATCCAAGTTATATAGATATATACATAAAAAGATTGTTTTCATAATAAAATCAATTGATTCTCACATTCAAATTAAATAAATAAGTGGCTAATAAGTGGCTTATGGCAGCAGAACAGTCAGCGATGTTTTTTCTTTTCCTACGTCCTTTGTCTGACCGTTTTGTTCCAAAGACCTTGGAAGTGGTAAGTGAGTTTTCCTGCGCACCGCTGTAGTGATGACTCCCTTGACTCCTCTGAGACACAGAGTTTGACTGATGCTCTACGAAAAAGAAAAACACATCTCCACAAAAATCACAAAAATGTGATTTCATCAAATAGCTGCATGTGTTCAGTCAAAGTGAAGGGTGCATCCGTCAAATGTCCTTCTTGTCTAATCTGTGTGAGACAACAAAAAAAATAGCTTTTACCTTGGCACTGAGGAATGATTCACTGATCGCTGATACACCTTGAAAATTACTTCTTTTTTTTTGTTGCATGTGGGGTTTTTAAATTTTAAATGCACTGTCTAAAACACAAAAAATAATATGATTTATTATGAGGTTTGTGGAAGGATTCAAAAAAGGAAATGAAAACAGACACATTTTGTTGTTGGACTGTGTGACAGTGCCTTTAGATGTTTGACGGTGAAGTTCCACTCCATGTCTGCACACTTTCCCCAAACTTTGTTTTGTCTCCACAGCTGTTTGGGCTTATGGCATCACACTGTGATTTCTTTGTCATCACAAATGTTTTTTGCGAAACACATAGTTGGTACACTTCCTGAAAAATGATTGAATTAAATTACATGTTGGAATTTTATTCGTGAGTAAGTATGTTTTTTCCACTGACTCTTTTAGGAAAGGAGAAGAACAGAGGCGAATAAAACTTTCAAGTTAACTGGTAACAACAAGGTTTTTTTCTCAGACGCTCCATAGAGCTGGATAATACAAGGTCTCATTCTGTCAAATTAACGAAAGTGTTCCTTACTGTAGATAGAGACTACATTTGTCTCCTTGAAATGAAAGATTGGTGCTTAAAAACGAGACAAATGGCGGTCAGGAAAAACACGAAAATTAGTTTTCATTTTTGCCTCCGATACAAAGATTGAAGTGCATTTTAAGATAATGGATTTTAGAAAGTGTACCAATTTATTTGATTTATTTTTTTTTAATGCGTTTTACTTGCACAATGTAACATTTGTTGAATGTGTTTTACTTGCACAATGTAACATTTGTTTGCATTCAGAAAAGAATGAATTTTTTTTTAAATTTCTGTCTGTCAGGAAATGAAGCTCTGCAGGAGAACTACATGCAAGACAGTAAGATGGGCTTCGTCATCAACGCCATCTACGCCATGGCTCACGGCCTCCATGATATGCACCAGGAGTTGTGCCCCGACCAGACAGGGCTTTGTGAGGCCATGGACCCCATCGACGGCAGCAAGTTGCTGGACTACCTCTTAAAAGCATCCTTCCGAGGAGTCTCAGGGGAGGAGATTTATTTTGACGAGAACGGAGACACTCCAGGAAGGTAAGGATGATGAAGAACGGAGCAGGCGAGAGAGAATTTGTCTCAGCAGCTTGGTCTTATTCTGTGATTTTCTTTTATCTCTCCCCCCACTTTTCAACTCATTCACACGCACACATGTGCCAGTTCTGAGCTCAAAAGGATGTAATTAGTTTGGACTGGAACAGATTCAGTGGATTGTGGGCTGGCAGCCACGTTCATCCCTTCTCTGTACAGTAGACAGCGTCTGACAGTCAGAAAAACAGAGCCATGTCACTCTTGTGTCATCCAAATGTGTCAGATACGCCACTTTCTGCATCAAAGTGAGGCCACCGTGTGCACACACATGAGCTGTTGACGTCACAGCTGACAACCTTGTCAGCTGCGACTTTGGATAAGAGGAAGAAAAAAAAAGAAACGATTTTTCTAAGCTGTGGAATCATTATTTTTTAAATAAGCTGTCACTCTGACCCTCTTCTTATTCTGTAAATCTCCCCGTCCATCACTCTCCTCTAACGTTCAACTCTCTTCTACTTTTTCTGCCTCCGTCTTTTCCATGTAGGTACGACATCATGAATCTACAGATGGAGGAGGGTCGCTACGACTACCTAAATGTGGGCTCTTGGCATGAGGGCATCCTGAACATGGACGACAACAAGCTGTGGATGAACAGCAGCGAAATGGTCCGGTCGGTCTGCAGCGACCCCTGCTTTAAAGGACAGATCAAAGTAGGAATCCAAATCCTCGTTAAGATCAAATCCTCCGGTGTTTAATCAACTCTGCCAGTGTTCGTTCAGTCAGAGACGATCAACAAATCAATAGTCCTTTATAGAGGAGAATTGGTTTGGAGAACTTTAAAAAGTTCCAAAAATAATGTTAAAAAAAAACCCCAGAACAGTTAATTACACATTTTTTTAGTGATGAACGTTGATTATGCAGAGATGTTGCGTTTAAATAAATGCTGAATATCATGGTAAACTTGATTTAGTTTACCATGTAGTCAAACATGAGTGATTTTAAATAAATACATAATAAAATAAATAAAAAATAATAAAATTTTACTTTTTAGAGATTTTGAAATCAAAAATAGGTTAAAAAAAAAACCCAGAACAGTTAATTACACATTTTTTTAGAGATTTTGAAATCAAAAATAGTATTTGTAGTATCAAAAAAAATTTTGTAGTATTTTACTGTGCCGTTTAATCCACCTAGTACAGGAGACTCTGACACAACAGATCTTAAAAGTGGTATTGAGCCCTGTTGTTTATCCTGGGGCCAATATCCTCCGTCAGGCTGTTCACTGAAGTCACCCTGAGGGAGGATGCACACTCTGTGCTGGCTGTTCACTCTTCTCTCTCTATCTGCTTTGTTTCCCTGTCCTACTTATCAGCCTGCTTTACATATCACAGTGCTGGTAACAGCTCTCTAGCTGCAGAATGTAAATGAAACTGCCCTTGTTTTATCAACAGCGTGTCTGGAGCCCAAGATAGTGAAAAATTCAGCGACAAGGAATCGTAATCTTCAGAATCACCTCGGCGCTGTGTGTTGTGTTTATTCATGTGCTGTGTGAAAGTTTACTTTTGTGTCCATGACCCCAGTGTTGTTTGTTGTCGTTGTGTGCAGGTGATACGTAAGGGCGAGGTGAGCTGCTGTTGGATCTGCACCACCTGCAAAGACAACGAGATTGTCCAGGATGAGTTCACCTGCAAGGCATGTGAGCTGGGGTGGTGGCCTGACGACGACCTGGCAGGTAGGAGACAGAGATGTTCAAGCTACGTCCAGTATCAGTGTCCGTGCCTGTAACACCAGGTTTTCACCCATCGGTTTCTACCTAACTGCCCTGGTCAGGATATTTATTTCTTTGAGCAAGTTATACACACGTCTTCTGACGGTTCTCTTCTCCAACATCTCATTATCCCCCATCAGCTCGTTAATGCTTCACACCCTGACGCCTCCTTTTGCTCTCGTCTTTTATCTTTATTTGATCTTTGACCCCGCTCCGTTTAGAATTCTTCAATCGTCGCCAAACTTTCCACAAAAACTGACCCCGCTCACTTTCTTTGCTGCTCTTTGCTTATGGTGCGGCGATTGTTTTAGCAGTGATTTATTGACTTGAGCAGAGCTCCCAGGTGTGAAATCCCATTACAGCCACAGGAGGCCTTTCAGCAGTTTGTCAAGGTAGAAATTCTCCCTTTTACTCTCATCATATTTCCCAGCTGAAGGCGGTAACACAGGGAATTGGTAACATTTAAATGACAAAGATTAGTGTGCAGCCTCTGTAAGTTCACCGGTGTCAAATGAGGGAGACATTGTTGTTGTTTTTTTAAGGAAAATCCATGGACATTTCATGATGTTGCCATTTTCTGGGAGAACAGATCAAGCCGAGACAGGACGCTCAGAAAACAGACCCTTCTGGAGAAACCTTTATCTCAGAGTCCGACCAGTCAGCTGTACTCAGACCAGTGGTTCTCAAACTTCTTCTTTTCTACTCTGTACCACCATGATGACCAACATTAGAACACAGCAGCAGAGGCCTTCACTGTTAACTTCCACCACAGGAGAGATGTTTATACATGTTTATGAAGATGTTTATGTTTAAATGTTGTAATATTTGTGTATGGTATGTTTCAAATTTTTTCAATTGAAAATGTAAATATGAATTTTCCCCACGTACCACTAGAGAGTGCTCACGTACCACCGGTGGTACGGGTACCACAGTTTGAGAACCACTGACTTAGAGCATTTGGCATTCAGCTACATGTGGTCATCTTTTTTTTGGTGGAAGTTACTGGAACACTGTAATGTTCCAGTAGCTCTGAAAATCCTCAAAAATCATTACATTTATGGTTTGACAAGTCGGTGAGGAGAAGGCGAGGCAGACGTGTGTTTGTTAACGTCTTTCCTCACCAGTGGTGGCAGTGACTGTAATGCCATTAGCAGTGGTGTGAAATTTATGGACTGTTAATCCGGGGACCACCAACTTCCTCCTCGTGTTTTGGATAATAATTATGCAAATGCCACTTCTTCACATGAGGGTTGACACATGTCAGAGAGAAATCTGACAGTTTAACGTGGCATCATTTGACATGTGTGACTTCCCTCATCTGTGCTGCTCCACTTTTATATCCTAATTCGCTCGTTCCCTTTTTCTAATGTACTTTTCTTGCACGCATTAAAAAAAAAAAAATTTCCCATAGTTCCAAACTCACCAGACGTTTTGTCTCCTCTTCCAATGGAAAACTCACCAGACGTTTTGTCTCCTCTTTTTTCCAGGCTGTCAGCCCCTTCCTCTGAAGTACCTGGACTGGGCTGATGTAGAATCCATCGTGGCTGTGGTTTTCTCCTGTGTGGGGATCTTAATCACCTCCTTTGTCACCTTCGTGTTCATCCAGTACCGAGACACTCCTGTGGTGAAGTCATCCAGTCGAGAACTCTGCTACATCATCTTGGCAGGCATCTTCCTCGGCTATATCTGCCCGTTCACGCTAATTGCACGCCCCACAGTGATCTCCTGCTACCTGCAGCGGCTCTTTGTGGGCCTGTCGTCCGCCATGTGCTACTCCGCCCTGGTGACCAAAACCAACCGCATCGCTCGCATCCTGGCAGGAAGCAAGAAGAAGATCTGCACCAGGAAGCCTCGTTTCATGAGCGCCTGGGCCCAGGTGATCATCGCCTTCATGCTGATCAGCATGCAGTTGACTCTGGAGATCACACTCATCATTTTGGAGCCTCCGGAGCCCATCAAGTCCTACCCGAGCATACGTGAGGTCTACCTCATCTGTAATACCAGCAACATAGGCATGGTGGCACCACTGGGCTACAACGGCCTGCTCATCATGAGCTGCACCTACTATGCCTTCAAGACACGCAACGTCCCGGCCAACTTCAACGAGGCCAAATACATTGCCTTTACGATGTACACCACGTGCATCATCTGGCTGGCCTTCGTACCCATCTATTTTGGCTCCAACTACAAGATCATCACCACGTCCTTCTCCGTCAGCCTGAGTGTCACGGTGGCTCTGGGCTGCATGTTCACACCCAAGATGTACATTATCATCGCCAAACCTGAAAGGAACGTCCGAAGCGCCTTCACCACCTCGGACGTGGTGCGGATGCACGTCGGAGACGGCAAGTCTGCTCAGTGTGGAAGCAACAGCTTCCTGAACATGTTCCGCCGCAAAAAGCCCAGCTCTGGGAATGCCAAGTAAGTCACCTTTCACGTTGTGTCTGTTGATTAACTGTGCAGGGACTGAGCCAAAGTGTATTCAGAGATATTTTTAAAATCCTTTAAATAGTGTATTAATTAGACAAAGCAGTGCCATTTCAAGGGTGAAGCCACAAAAGTCGACCAAAAATACTTTCTCCTATTTGCTGTTTTATATTAGCCTGAGTAAATATGTCCTCATTAGTAATTAATTTTAATTTTTAAAATCAGATCATAGGATCTGAGCCGTGGTTTCATCCTCCAACGTTGGTACCAAAAGATCTGAGGTTTCATCCTCCAACGTTGGTACCAAAGTCTGTTTCATTTTAACTACCAGGAGCAGACAAAGGAATGAACCTCCAACTAAACTAGCACATAGATATTTTTAAAATCTTGATGATTTCAAATTAGGGTCGAGACTTGCAAATAACTTGTTTTGAGATTCCCAGCAGTGACACACCTTTGGAGAGGTGACTGAAGTACGAAGTGGGACAGAGTATGAGAGAGTGATCCCAACATGTTTATGTCTTGTCTCTCACCCCTGCTATGCAGCCTTTCTGGTCTTCTAACCCTTGAACCCTTTAAACCTGGGCTGTAATCTGTCTGTAGACTGTCAGGGCTGGTGAATGTTACGGCATGGGAGGTCACCCAGTGGTTTTTATGGAGCGCTGCATTGTCATCTGACATCGACTTGTTTTACTACCTTTACAGCCCAGGGATACATTGCTTGGCCATTTACATTATGTGCAAATAATCATAAAATAAAAATAAAATCAGTCAGCCAGCTCACCAGGCCCTTAGGGAGAGAATCAACAGAGTAGAAGTAGAGCAAACAGATGCAGAATAAAAAGTCAAAAAACTAAAAAACAAGATGAACCCAATGTTGATATTTTGGTGTTTTATGAGCAGTTTTTTAAAACTGATATGACTATAAGTATTTACCATTTAGTGAGTACATTAATTACACTATTTCTTTCCAGTAACCAAGGTTGTGAAGAACTATAGACATAAACAAATGAACACACACAATGCTGAACAAAACGTGCCTTGGTGAGGTGTCAGATCATCATCCTTTATCCAACAGAGATGTTAGCCTGTTATTGCTCGCATCATAACAGAACAAATCTCACAGTACGACTTCTGCTCCTGTCTTTGTCCCAAAATTGCAACACACTGAACTACAGTTCAACTACAAGTATATGAATGTTCAGGCCTGATGCCGTCACTGGGATTTTTATTATCGGTGCATCCCCACGTGATTGGTTTAGGTTTTACAAAATGAATTTGTAAACAGACAAAAATTTTGTGATTCTACATTCTTTTCTTTGAAACAGACAAAATGTTTGTGATTCTACATTCTTTTCTTTGATTGGTTTTCATTTTGAGCAGATTGATTACATCACAACTACCAACACAGACATTCAGACAGGGTGTAAACGTCACGTTTCTCTGTGGCGGACAGTAGGGACAGAACAGAAATGTCGTTGACAATGCAGTCACCCATGTGGGAGATCTGACGCCTACAGAAGCTGCTTTTAAGTGATTGGAATTTAACCTCACATTTAAGTTGTCTCAGCATGAAAACGTTCCCCTCCGAATGTCTCTAAACCGATAAACTGAGAGCCCAAGTCTCCTCTAACTCATTCTGTACTAAACCTTTATGTCTTCATACGAGTTATTCCACCAATAGAAAGTCTGACACGGTAAATGCATGTTTTCCATTTAGCCATGTTGTTAGCCACCAGGAAACGAGCTGAGAGCTGACTGTCTGAAGCATTTGAAGAATCATAATGATGTCTGCCACACATTATGAATTTAAAGCTCCTGGTTTTCTGTAAACCCTCTGATCGGGCTGTCAGTGTTAAGAAGGTTCAAAGTAGTTTTTTTTTTCACGTGCGTCTGAAATGTAGAGATGCTGCAGCTCGTCTGTGTTGTTTCTGTGGCAGTGTGTCAGTGCTGTTCTTGCCTCCTCCCCTCTGGTTTCTTGTGATAGTAACTTGGGTCTTTATCTCGTTCATAGTTCTAATGGCAAGTCTGTGTCATGGTCTGAATCAGGTCCACGACAACCTCCCAGGGGGGGGAATGTGTGGCACAGACTATCTGTGCATGTGAGGAAACAGGAAGCAGGCTTGAATCAGACGGCAGTCATCAGACCCCTAACTAACAACCCCGACCCCCACAGCTGCAAGCCCACCGGCTGTGACCATGGCACAGACCTGCATCACCCACAAGGACCGAGGACTGCTAAACCTTTGTACAGCCAGGTGGAGGAGGAGGACGATGAGGGCGATGTGCAGCGCCCCCTCTGGAATCCATCTCTCTCTGGACAGATGTCAAGGCTGGAGTCTGTTTTGGATAAGACCCCTTATCTGCCCTCCCACTTGAAGAGCCACACTACAGGGCACTTGCAGGGGGCTGCGGTGGACACACACAGCTCCCACGTCCCCACGATGAATGATCACACGCACCGCCTGGAGGCGAGCCCTGCCCTGGAGCCTTTGAGTGTGACACCCTCCGAGCTGCCCCTGGCCCCACCTGTGAGGGCACTTGAAGAACATGGATCTGAGGAGGAGGAACTAGACCTCTTACAGAGCTACATTTATAACGCCAGGGGGGAGGGGGAAGCGCAGGATGGTGAAATGGAGGATATAACTCAACACAAGACAACTCTGGAGGAGTCCTTCGCTCTCTCTCCTCCCTCCCCCTTCAGAGACTCGGTGTGTTCCAGCGACTCCCCCGGTTTGGAGTCGATGCTGGGCAGCCCTCCGAGCCCCGTGTTCACCTCCAACACGCTCCAGGACTTTGCACACAGCTCCTCAACACTGTGAGAGCAAAGCAGGCAGTGACGCAGGGGCTGTCAGCACGGTTGTCCATCACATGACATGCATTTGCACACACACACACACACAGACACACACACAAGCAAACATACGGCTACAGAACAGAAAATATTTACCTTTTAGTAACATTTTTAGCTCAATCATTCGCTGATTTTCTTCTGCCCGGCTTCTTCTTCTTCTTTTTTTTTTTTCTGAGGTGAGGGTTTTGCCAAACAGGAATCTTCCCATATGTGCTTTCCAAAGAAGGGCTGTCTTTAATGAGCCTTTCGGTAAAATGTAAAAACTGAGAACGTAGTGCTAAAACTAATCAGCTCTGATGCCAAAATGTTTGCGACGATAGCACAATAGTGAGGTTTTTAATAAGGGATGTAGCTGTGGTTTCTTAGTGACTGTGCCATGTTTTTGATCTGCAAAACAAAACAAAAAATACACATGTCCAGATATTAACAGTATGTGCACACACACACATACGCTGCACAAACTGGCTTTTTGCTTCTCTTTGCTGCTAGTGTGTACGCAGCAGTCGTAGCTACACTCAAAAAACAAAACAAAACAAAAAGACAAAGAAATTGTGATGATCACTCATTCTCCTCCTCATTGGACTCCACTTCAGTTTGATTCCTGTCTAAAACAGTAAGTAACAGTCAATGGTTGTTTGGATATTTCTCTTTGTACACGTTGCAAGGATTTCTCTACGTCGTCCCAATCACCTACTGGGATTTGCCAAAAAAAAAAAAAAGAGACTCAAGTGCTGTACAATAGGTGACATGAAAATGGCCGAAACAATCGACCAAAACACAAAAAGTGAAGTCATCTTCCTACGGCAGGCTAGCTTGATTGTAGTTGACGGCGATGTTGTTTATTCTGTACACACTCTTATGAGTCATAACCCTGACAACATCCTTTTTTATGAGCATGGGATGTGATTATTAGTGAGTTTGCTGTGTCATTGTAACGGACCACACAGTGCTTGTACGAGTTCTCGGTTTGTAATACTGTTGCGCCATCCTCTTGTTTTTACACACGGGTGGTGATGTTTGTAATACAGATAAATGTTTCTATCGCTAGAATGTCATCTTTAAAAAAAACAACAAAACAACGGAAAATCGAGTTTATACATTTTGGAGCCGTCTTCGGATACTTGTCAAGACGCTGTGTTTTTGTTTAGTACCTTTGAAGCTTACTTACAGGTCGACTGTACCTTCTTGAGATGATTTATTTGTAAGAGTAACTGATGATTAGTTAGTTATTGTATATAAGATGTTATATACATGTTTCTAATTTTGCTGAGAACTTATTCACTATCAACTACAGTAGTTTAAGTTTCTAACTTCTCTACCTGGATAACAAGGCTAAACAGTGCATAGTGCAATTGTATCGTATTTCCAAATGTTTTTAAGTCGATTATAGTGTTAAAGTTGTTTTATCTTGTGGAGAGAAAAAAAAATACAAGGGTGCCATTTGAGTGACAAGCCTTTATGTTTTCAGTTAGCTGAAAAAGCTTGGATTTAACAAAAAAAAAACTAAAATTATATTAAGAGAACTGGTTAATGTCTGAAAACAAGTTAGGCTGTTAGAGCAGAAACCAGAGAAGGTTAATGGGACTTTGAGAATTAAATGAGATTTGAATCTTAATGTCTGAGTTTTTGATTGAACCGTTTGTACTTTACATGCACTAAAAAAAAACATCCTGTTTATTTATTTACATTAATGTTCTGCTGTGGTGTCATTAAAACAGTAAGTAACCACGTGGACCTGACCATGAATGAACCAATCACAGGAGACGCATGTGAGGTTTCCGGGTCCATGTGACAAATCAGGTAGGTTTCAGCAAGAGGAGGAGGAGGAGGAGGAGGAGGAGGAGAGTCAGAGAACAAGGAGGAGGCAAATGCAATTTGTGTTGCATGTGGCCTGTGTTCCATCGACCAGCCCATTTTACAGCCGCAACCCCCTCCGTTTGCTTCCCCCAGTGAGTGAAAAAGCAGAAGTTATTGAAAGTTTGCAAAAGTTTTTTTTTTTTTTTTTAAATTATTATTATTATTTTTTGGGTCGGTGCGTCAGTGTCAGCATGGCTGGAGGCTCAGTGTCGGAGTGTAAGGAGTATTTATTCAAAGTGCTGGTCATCGGAGAGCTGGGCGTCGGGAAGACCAGCATCATCAAGCGGTACGTGCACCAGCTGTTCTCGCAGCACTACAGAGCCACGATCGGCGTCGACTTCGCACTCAAAGTGATCAACTGGGACAGCAAAACCCTGGTCCGCCTCCAGCTGTGGGACATTGCGGGTAAGGACGCGTTCACACGGCTTACGAAACGGAACCAGCAGCCAGATGATGGAAATGGAAAAAATGAATGAATTATGTTAAAAGTTTTTTTTTTTATCCAAAGTTTCCACCAGAAATGACAGAAAAGCTCATAATGTCTTTTTGTCTCTCCCACTTTATGCTCATGACAGCTCATAATTGCCAGAGGAATGTAGGTCACGTTGTTATTACCGTCAGGCGGCCCCTTCACCCCACCACCCCACCCACCCACCAAGTGGACTCACCACAATATTGCCCTAAAGTTCCCCGGGAGGGTGGCATAGTGGGGAAGTGGAGTGGAGAGTGTCTTACAGAGCGACAGACACCAGTTTGACACCTCTGTGGAAACTGATGGTCTGGAGTGGACTCTTCTATGGTGGTCACAATATGGTGTGGGTGGGGGTTTGATCCCAGAGACTGTCAGGGTTAAGTTCACTGTTCACTCTGAACTGACCATACCTGTGAGTCTGAGTCTGAGTCTGAGTGGCTGTTTGTCTCCGTATGTGACGGACGGTCCAACTGTCCAGGCCGTACTCCGCCCTGTGGTAGAAAAATAGATAGCGTGGATTGTATGGTGATTTAAGTCACATTTACATCAACTTGTATGTTCCTCATCAGCTCAGTAGGCAGAGTACGTGTGATTTTATTTGAAAAATATGATTTTAATTACTGATAATTCACCAACCTTTCGTCGATGGATTCAATTATTTCTGTATCGTTCCATTTCCTCACCGCTAACGTTTACATTTCTTACTCAAATGCTTGGTTTTTTAACTGGCTGTGGTGCCAATAATTTAAACCTAAACAAATTTACTCTTTTTTTTTCACCTTAATTTTCACCTTAATTAAATAAACTAAACACAACCTAAGTGTTATTATTCACATCTTTATTCTGATTTTACTCCTCAGAGCCTCAGAAATAAAGTTCTTCCTCATTAGGACTAGGCTTATATTCCCACTAGGATTAACATTTCTAAGACACACACACATAGACACACACACACACACGGAGCAATGCCAGCTTGTGCATTCCAGCAGCTTTAGTAATCAAGCTGGAGTGACAATCAGAGCAGTGTAAATAGAAGTTTCTCACACCGACAGCCTCCACTCACACTCACAATGTTTGTCATTTCCAGGCAGGAAAATATCACACTGCAAACAGGCAAATCTGAGACGGACGCAGGCTTAAAAAAAATGTCCCAAAAGGGAAAGTCGGCCAACAAATCAACCAGTGAAACTGGTGACGAATTAAAACAGAATACAGATGCAGCTTCAAAACAGTACAGAATTCAAGGGGTAATGTAAGGTGGGAGTGTGTGTGTGTGATGGCCATTATTTTATGTTTGTTTTTTTCAATTTCCACAAAATAGATTAGGCAACCGTGTTTGAGAAATCTCTTATTCATCGTTCAGTGGAACTCACTTGATCATCACAGATGATCTAGGATGTGAGGAGAGCCGGCCGTTCAAGGACCCGTGAAAATCTTCAGCCGTGCAACTTTGTCTTGTCATTTTACAGCATGTCTTCCCTCGGTCATGAGTTCGACTGCGCTGGCTGATCCCGAGTTTGCACGTGTGAGGGAACAGTAAAGGTAGTTAATGATTCTCCCAGAGAGTGTCGTTGTAGCAGAGGACCGTGATAAAAGGGTTTTGTCCTGGACATTTCATGGACATAAAAAGAATAGGGTTGAGGTCAGGGTCATGACCATTAAAAAACATTTCATGTAGTGAAATATATAGTTCTTACATTAGAAATGAGGTTTGTAGAACTCACTGGGTTCTTGATATAATTATTGTCCTTGATCTAAAAAGTGTTCTTAGAATGTTGGAGACAAAAGGTCCAGATTAGACTGTGAAATAGGTCCAGCTCTCAGCATTATGGTTGAAGACAGGTCTGTGTCAGCGGGAAAAAAAAATCTACCTTCTCGTGTGATCATCGACCTATTCTTCATGGTGTGTAAATTATGCAGCCCATTGTACTGATGATGTGCTGTGTGTCTCTGGCCTCGTCTAAAATACAGTACAGAACTGGACGTGGATCTGTCTGTGTTTCTGTCCTAAACAGATACTTATCAGCCGGCTGTCAATCAATATTTATTTGTCCAATTTGAAAGTCAAGTTCTTACATTTCTCTGATAAAACTTTTATTTTTCACTATGGAATTTTTTTCCAATCTAATCTCACGCGGTCCCTGAGCTGAATAGCTGCACATGGCCGTGACTGGGGATTATGTCCCAGTGACTTAGCACTGGAATTTTACAATATTTCTGCACGTGCAGACTGAACGGAATTTCTTGTGATCCTAATCTTGGACCATGGTTTGACCACGGACCGTAGATCTTCCTTCTCTTTCCATCAAATGGACCTCGTACTCTGGGACAGATCTGGACAGATGTCTAGAAGACAGACTTCTGTTTTTATATTTATTCCATCACTTAAAGCAGTGGTTCTCAGTTATTTTCTGTCATGCCCCCTTTGGAGACAAATGTTTTCCCACCCCTCCCCCTGACCCACACCACCGCAAATTGCAATACTATTGAGAACCTGATAACATGTATATTTTTATCTGTACAAACCACTGTTTGAGTTGCTGCCACCTAGTGACTGGAGGCTTGTTATCATTCAAGTATTACAGCAGTGGTACACTTATGTCCCGCGTTCCATTGGAAACCCCTCACACACACCCCCGGCACTCGGAGGGGGCCCGCCCCACTGTTTGAGAAGTACTGATTTGAGGCACTGACAGCAGAGGGGTGGACAGTTGGCTGTTTGGGGGTGGGAGGCTGCTCTCCCTAAACAACTTGCACGTCTGTCAAGAACTGACTGGCAACGAGGGCTACGTGTTCCCCGGCCATCACTCACCAAGCAGGGGCACTTGTGTGTGAGCTCCAAGGGAAGGCCGTCTCTGTGTCACCCACCTGCGAGGGTAAATAAATCACTGCTGTAAACACACTCCTCGACGGGCTGATATCATTCAAAGAGACAGAGGAACACACTTGTCCATATGGGGTCAGCAGAGCCGTGTCGGTGCCGTCGCTCTAACCATTAGGAAAGTTTGACACATACGAACCCTCATTTATTACACCTACAGCAGGGCCCGGCCTGTGGACACGGGGGTATAAAGAAGGTAATGAAAGGCGTGGGTGTGAAGGAGTGAAAGTTGGAGGTTTATATTTGTCACGTCTTTAAAGGCAGTCATTAAGCCACTTAATCATGCAGGAGAGGAGGTGGAATTATCTTCCTGGAAGCACGGCTGAGGGAACTTCACAGTTTTACCAACCTTGCTAATGATTACAGCCTGCGGGGCTTGATAGTAATCAGAGGTCTGTACAAGATGGGGGCACCATGGGAGACTTTCTTAAGCTGGTCGCTTCCCCTCCTTCCTCCTTCCTCCTTCCTCCTTCCCTTCTTCGGTGGATTTCTCTAAACCAGCAGACAGGATGATTATTACCACTGTGGAATAGCGTTTTAAAAACAGCAAACACCTTGTACAGATAAAGACCCGGGGTTCACCTTAGTGCCATAGAGGAAGTGATGGTTTAACAGTCAGAGTTGCTTCAGGAAAAAAAAAAAAGCCGAAATTAACTGTTGCAGTGCCATACACCCTGGTTTCTGTAGTTGTAGTTGTCGTTCTGAAGACGTTTCCACCTGAAATAATGAACTATGCGTTTGCACTGGAGTGTCAAAATACAATTTTGTGAGTTAATATATATAAATATATATATATAGGTCTGGGTATATATGTCAAAATAAACATTTACATATGAAATGGTTGTAAAAATAAACATTTACATATGAAATGGTTATATGTCCATATATAGTTATATGCATACATATATTAATTTAGTTTTATATAAATAGTTATTTTTATGCAATACAAATATATAATTTTACCTGTGTTTGGATATGTATATATGGAAGCATCTTTGGGTTTGTAACATGGTGCCCTCCAATCGAATATAGGTTTGTTTTTTGTGTTTTTTGTGTGTCGCAAGTTTAAACAAGTACTCATGAGTATTACAGTTTTTGGATTATTTCTTGAGCATTAAACCGAGGCTGTATGTTTTCAGCCCCTGGAGCTCAACTAAAGGGTAACGGGGGTAATACCTCTTAAAGGTGGGGGATTTTCCCCCCGGTTCACTCCCATTGCTGAAGGCTACAGCTGGTCACTTCTCACATGGTGCTGAGCAAAATGCAAACGTGTTGGTCATGTGTTGCTCACACTGTTAAAAAAACTCACACTACCGCCATAGTTATTGAGCCTGACCTTATCTTTTGTTATTTTAGTATTTTAGTGTTGTCTGAAGGGCAACAGGGAGAGACAGAGTCTGCTGCTGCTGCTGCTGCTGCTGCTGCCTTGTCTGGCTTGGACAGTTGCTATGGTAACACACCCACAAGATAGCAGTACGTACGACCGTAGAGAAACCGGGGTTGCTAAGGCTATGGATAATGATGAGACTTTGCTTTTCTTATAGATATCTCCCACACAACAAAACAGAGATGATACAGTGGCTGTTACTGAACTGGCTGGGTTTTTTTCATCTGCCGATGTTGAAACAGAACAATTCCCATGTTCATAGGCAGGGAGTCTAATTCTGCTTCATGTCTCGCTCTGGTATTCATCAGCGCAGTAACTCAGCGAAAATGCCCTTGCCCAGAGCCTTTGAAAATCCTCAGTCGTTCCACGCTCTCTGGTGTTTGGACAGATTCACACTTTCTGTGGAGTTTGTCAGATGTTAACTTCTGTGAGGTTTGCTGCTTCTTCCTCGACTGTGGTCCCTTCTGGGCGCCTTTTGTGGTGTTGTTGTGTAAATGCTCTGTTGTTAACGCAGCCCGTTCCCTTCTTTGTCCTAATGCTGATTAGATCATTACTGTGTCACAGTTTTGGAGGTAAACGTTTTGTAAAGAGACCAAAGGCAAGATGCAGCACAAAACCATGCGTCACACAGACAGAGCTGCACCTCTCTCCTGCTAACATATTATCTAATTAGACACGTTTATTTTTTTTTTCCGGCCCCGATCATATCTCTACATAATTACATGTCAAACAGATAAGGTTATTTTGCATGTACACATTTTTATGCATCTGAAAAGTAATTTATTTGATCCTGAAACACGGAAGGCTTGGATTCATTCATGTATTAGGCAGTGATCGTTCAGTGACTGTGAGATCAGGTGGTTTCACATTGGTATGTGTTAAGAACACAGTCCTATTGTTTTTTTAGTCCCATAGATTTGCCTGGTGTCCACTCACATGATGGCAGCAGTCAGTGTAGTCAGATTTACTGAGAAAACATCCATTACAGAGAATTGACACATTATATGATCTGATGTGAAAAATGAATGTTGTCGAAGGCCGCACGTTAATCATCGGGTCATGAGACAGTGGAAAGGTCACGTGTCATTGGATTTTCCCTCATCTGATGTCAGCCAAACCTCAACATGTTATCAATACCTCATATGACTCCTTACTTACTACAGTAATAAGGCACGTGCACGTGAAAGTGTGTGCACACGTGCTGTTGCTCTCATCTGGGTGGTATTGATTGATAAAGTCATTTAACTTGAGCCTTTTCCTTTAATTCTGGGACCGTTAACCTATGACCCCCCCGCCTCCCCCCCGTCTGGCTCTGCTTACGAATCGACCTACGGTAGCAGGTAGAAGTGGACGAGTCAGAAAATCAGTGTAGTGAATCCAAACAATGATGAGCTGTCAGTGATACAAATAAATGATGTGATGTGATTTCCCATCAACACCACGCCATTCACTAAACAAATGGTGTCAAATATAGTGAGAGTGACAGTAATGCTACGGTGTTAGCATTTACAGCACTATGACCAGGTGTTTTGATCAAATGCTAATAACAGAACAGAACAGAACAGAACTGTTTCTGTCTATTAAAATACTTCTACGTTGGTGACATGGTGTCAATCTAACTTCATAGAACTACAGCCTGTGACCAATGAGACGCTGAACCGACGTGAGAAAAATGCATGAAAAGTTGTTGCTGATTATCAGGTCTCTGGATCAGCACATTTTTGAGGAGGTAGTACTGGGCTTAGTACCGATACCAGCATCAGCATCCCTACACACACACACACACAAGTCATTTCTTGGACTAAGTTGGTTAATAGACTTCCTCTCAGCCACCGAGCAGCCTGTCATTCCCTCGAGCACAAAGATATTTCGATAATGGATTTTTATTTCTTTAGCGTACATCTGTTTTTTTTCTCAAACTATAGCATGTATGAGAAGGAGCAGGACCGGCAATTAAAGCCTTATTTCTGTCCATCTCCTCTTTATCCCACTGTGCCGTGTCTCTGGTGACTTTACCTGGGGTTACAGCAGCTAAAATTAGCCTCTCAATTATGAGCAATTACCGTCAGGCCTGTGGGCCCCACAGTGTGTTCACTCACACTCACACTCACACTGCGCCACACCAGTCGACCGGTGTGGCGCAGTGCAAAGCAGACAGGGAGATATCGTCTGTTCACACTTCCTAAAACCGTTTCCTGCAGCATTGTGCATGGACTGCGTCTCAAAGCGTGTACTGTAAGCATACTTGTACTTCATTTAGAGACTTGGGAGAAAGTCATGGACAAATCTGTCCCAATGGTTTTCCAACAGCCTTCAGAGCTGCTCCGGAACATTTAAAATAGAATCAGAAAATATCTGAAATGACAAAAATAAAAAATACAGAACACACTAACGTTAAGACAAGACAACACAGAGTGTGAAGTAAAGGTCAGAACTAGAAGTCCTGCATGTTCTGTGGGCTGTGTGTATTCACACAAGAAAGACACCTGAAAGTACTCCAGTAACTGAATAGATGATATGAAAGTCAAAACAGGAAGTGGATGTGTCAATTGTGCAACGACGTGTGGTGTGAGACAGAAATGGATGTTGGTTAAAGCTAACTGATTTTTTTCATCATTTGTGTCTTAGGAAGGATATTTAATCTCTCTGATAATTCAAACGTACTCAAGAGAAATTCATGTTGTCTTAGGACCAGACATTTGGTTTCAAGTGCTCTGATTGGCTACAAACGTTCCACTGACATGTTCTCCCATCCACCCAGGTCAAGAACGATTTGGGAACATGACGCGGGTGTACTACAAGGAGGCCGTAGGGGCGTTTGTGGTGTTTGACGTGACGAGGGTCTCCACATTTGAAGCCGTCTCCAAGTGGAAGCACGACCTGGACAGTAAGGTGAAGCTGGCCAATGGCAGCCCCATCCCTTCTGTGCTGCTGGCCAATAAATGTGACCAAAAGAAAGACAACTCCAACAACACAACCCTAATGGACAATTTCTGCAAGGAGACTGGTTTCTTGGGCTGGTTTGAAACCTCGGCCAAGGTGAGAAATCTCCACAAACCACAAGTTATTTTTTCCTTCAACATTGTCCTACCTATTTTGATGCACAAACCTCTGAAGACCTTCATCTACTGCAGCGGTGACGGATGGCTGCACATCACCGCTGGTTTGATATGGTCTCAGTTGACACTGATTGATGTTGAAGCCCAGAGCTGTGAGGGGTCAAAAGGTCGAGGCTATAGGAGATAATACAATAATTCTGTGGCGTTCGTGTCACAGGCTTTGATGTTATATCAGACATCAGAGATTTATATTTTAAATGTAAGTTTTAAGCAGGTACATACAATTTATAAATGCACTGGGGTATTTGTTCATCCCTCATGGCTCTGTGTGGGCAAACTGGCTGCTGGACCTTTGAAGTTCATTAATGACCCCCCTCCCCCACCCCTCAGCCCCTCCAGAGTTTACTTCATTTCCTACATACTTTAAAATAACCCTCAGGCTCCACAGCTGCGTCATGTGCTCTGTCATGTGAGTCCCATTTCCTGTCTGAGATTACAACAAGCATTGTTGTTGTTTTGTGTGCCCCCCCCACACACAAGTGGTAACGGTGTTGAACTCCCCCCACAGCACCTTGTGATTGGAATTCTGACTTTCTGTTCAGTTTAAAATGACAGAAACTTCAGTTTTCCCTTCAAGTCACACACGTGGATTTAACACAATCGTGTCATTGTGTTTATCAGTGGTTTGTAACTGGCTGAGACGTAGCCTGTTACAACCGTGACTGGAGCAGGAACCACAGATGGGTCCCAGTGGTGTTATTGGATAAACATGGTTCCAGGATATTTCACGAGTCGAGTATCTGAGGTTGCAAGGTTGAAAATGCGTGAGAAATTGCAAGAGCATCTTTACCATCTTTACCACCATCTCATCCATTCAGGATTGTGTAAACGTCAAACAAGTGTTTTACTTTAGGTTAAAGAACATATTTCACAGGGATAAAGAAATGGAATATGAAAAGTTGGTAAAATATTTCACGTATGGGGAAAAAACCTTGTGGGGAATAAAGACATAAATACGTACGAAAAAACCTTGTGGGGAATAAAGACATTTTTTGTTTTGATTTGAACAAAATGTAAAGTACAAAAAAATGATCCTGGAATTTCCTGGAAAATTCTGGCCTCATAAAAAGAAAGTGAGAAATAGGACTTTATTTGAATCAGCACTTCCTGAAAGCGGAGCCACATGACTGACTGTTCTTGACACTCTCAGAAGAACACTGTCAGGTGTTTGTTTGTTAAGAAGAGTCCACACCAGTTCAGACTGGTTTAATTAGGAATGTAGTGGATTTCAGGGCGTTGTAATGATTATTTAACACCACGTCTGTGATAGACTGATCCTCGGACACATTGATTCAAATAGTTTTACTCTGCAGGACAACATCAACGTGGACGAGGCGGCACGTTTCCTGGTGGAGAACATCTTGGCTAACGACAAAGGTCTGTTGTACGAGGAGAGCAACGGAGATCGGGTCAAACTGGAGCAAGAGACTGTGGTGGCCGAGAGCAAGTCGGGCTGCTGCTAACACTCGGTCTGTTCACAGTAGCCACCAGCTTCTGTCTGACAGGGTCCACTGCCGGTTCTCAACCTGTGGCCCTCGGGTCTCTCTATTCCAGCCTCTCAGAAGGAGTAGGGAATTCTGGGTCATAGCAGCTCACAGAACTTCTCCTCTCTGCTCCACTGCCTGTTTCACCCTCACTCCTCTGTATCTCTCTCTAGGGCAGAGCAGCGACCAATTTTATTGAATTTTGGTCAATGCCTTTTTTTTGCTGTTCTAATAGAATCTTCATTGTTGTTTTTGTGACCTTACACTATCCCTCGATTGTGCGTCACATCACCTGTTAGTGCTCTTCATGCCCTCTGGATCCCTGCATTGTAGCAGTCTCTATGCTACTGAATCAAAACAAAACACTCGAGCCAGTCTGAAGCCTTTCAGCGGTAATAACAGAGGCAATGCTGCCACTTAATCACTTACCTACATTTACATCTGCGCAAAAATAGCACCACAACAATAACACTGCCTTTCATATTTTAATCCAAAGTCTGGGCTACATTTTTTTACTGACACAGATGAACATAAAAGTATTAAGTTGAAAACATTATCTCAGTGTTCACCAAGGCAACATCTAGATGTTGAGTCATTCATTATACACAGACGTCACATGTTGACGATCATGTTTGGACGGTCTATGTTCAGTGTTCCGATGCCAAGGACGGTCTTTTATCATGACGACAACATGTGGAATAAATAAGCGTTTTAACAGGTTCGTGTAGTGTTCTAGTGTTAGACTGTCTGATCCCTGTGTAATTTATTTTATAACAATGCAGCCTGTCTCCAATTATACAGTTGTTCTTGAAACCGGCAAATATATAAAAACAAAAACAAAAAAAACTCAGTTGAACTGGATTATTTCATGCACATCATGTACAGTAAGGGTTCGTTCCTGTGTTTGGGTCCAACTAGAAGGACTTGGTTTAAAAAGTGCCTGTAAAATGATGACAATCCACCTGGAAAGTTGGCATTACAACAGAAAGGCTGACATTGTTGTTATTGTAAAATGACATTGTTTTGTTTCGTTTTTTTGTGTTTTTTTTTTTTAGGTAATGTGGTCAATCAAAAATAAAGTATATACAGTATTACTGTCCAATGGCCTTAGTGAGGCTCCTACATCAGTTTGATTTGTACTTCCACTACCCCATTGTTAACAGCGCAGATTAATAACAAAACAAAAACTAGAGAATGACAATAATGAGGGAATTTGTCTTCATTTCATTTCATCTTTTTTTTTGTTTGTTTTGTCAATGTATGGGAAATAACTAGTGTGTGTGAAAAACATGTATGAAAAAAAAGGGTATTTCAGAGTAACATTACAACAAAGGTCACTGGATACAGTTCTACATGTAAGAGTTGAAAACCATGTCTGCTGGAGAGAGAGATCCTCGTGACTCCACTTTAGGGAACAGTGTGTGATAGTCATCAGAGACTTCACTCTCCTACAGTACTCTGCACCACACCCTTCACTGTCTTCACTGAAGCACTGATGCAAAAGCAGGAAGTCTTCTTGACCCCTCATGGTCATGAACGGTAACATCTAGATAAATTCTTCAGTATTTTTCTCTTCCATTTGCTCCATTGTATAAAATCCAGTGTCCACACAGGAATAATCTCTTACTCTTTCTTCTGCGCTGTTGTTTGATGGTCACGTGATTATGTTCTTGTGATCTCTTCTGTCAGACTACACAGGGTTGTGTGCATTCCTAGCTTATACTTCCTGGAAATTCACAGAGAGAAATGCTAAATAGAAATATCAAAGACACATTCTCTATCAAAGACTTGAAAGATCCAGGGCAAAATTAATGTACAAAATACATCAATACAAAACAAAAACACAACATGTAACTGCATGTCTAACAGTGATGCACAGCTTCTACCAGCAAGCGTATATGGAGTTTGTGACACTAATAGCAGCACTACAGTGAGTACCTGCAAATCAATGGGCGTCAGTGTTGTACACTTTCTTGTTTTATTTTATTTTATTTTATTTTTTTTACACCAAATGGTGTTACAATCCTGCTTTTCTGAGGGTCACATGTTCATCACATGGTTCTACATAATGCAGTTAAATACGGTTCATGCAATTTCATGAAAGGTATTTGTGACCCAATTTTTGCAGTGATAAAGCATTTTCACATGATACAGAGTGGTTGGGGACAAAATTATTGGCTCTAAAATAAAATATTCACTCATGTAGAACAGTTTCCTGCTTATTTTGTAACAAAGCAATACAAAAACACCAACTTCTACACCATTTTACTTATTAGAGATATTTTAAATTTTGTATTCTGAAGCCAAGTAAAAATATGTGAAATTTAAACGTGACAACCTTCAGAAATGAACAATTCTTAAAAGTCTAGGCCACGAGCTATGTCACTTCCGCAAGCACTAAGTTTGTTTCCGGCTGACTTCCGGGATTTTACTTTCGCATCGGCACTTGTAAGGGTTCGTTTCCGGCTGACTTCCGGGATACTTTCGCATCGGCACTTGTAAGGGTTTGTTATGGCTTATCAAAGGTTTCTCACTATGCAGAGCCGTACGTAAATCACTCATAAAAATATCATATGTAATTATTAAAATTAAATTTTTTTTATTTTATTTACAAAAATGATTTTCCTTCCTCCTTGTTTTGACATAAATATTTTTTTATTTACAAAAGTGATTTTCCTTCCTCCTTGTTTTGACATTAGATGACTCTTCATGCTCAAGCCCCACCCCGTTGCCCAGCAACACTCAAACTTTAAGAAGCAGAGACCGGATCGAACGAAAGATACTGGACGGGTAAATTTCTGGACACTTTTTGTTTTATCGTGTGGACCAGGTACAATGTCCAAATCACAAGCAAAGAAAAAGGAGTCGTCATCTTCCTCCTCCAGCAAAGTGTCAGTGTCCGGCAGAAACACGGCGTGAGTCTCAGTTTCTAATTACTATTATCAACACCTGCTGCTGCTTCCTGTCAAAATAAGGCGTTAAACTGTGAAGTGACAGCAGGTTTCAAATTCTAACTTACCTCTACTCTTTCAAAGGACGAATTGTTTAAACGGGTTTCTTAAAAACTGAAGAGAAGAACGAAAAATAAGGGATTTTGCTCAATGTGTGACTTAATTTCAGAACAACATCTCAGGTAAATTCTTCTGAAAACATCGGAGGAGCTTTGCAGAAATGTAGACCGCCTATCTGGCCTGAGTGGAACGAAGCAGAGTTAAACAAAGAGAAATGGGACATTAAGGTGAGTTCGGATATTACATCAAAAAACACAACAACAAATCAGTGCGAGGTAACCACTGTGTCCAGGATAAATATTGTAATATTTCTAATATTTCTTGAATCGTTAGCCATATTTTGAAGATCCGGAGGGAAGGATTCCGCTTCCTCCATCTTTAAAAGTGCACTCTTGGAAACGTCCGACTGAATTTATCGGAAAAACGGTAACTTTCACGCCAAGATGGCGACAGTGTTTCTTCTCTCCAGACAAAACATAACATATGTCACCACTGTGTTGTAAACCACAATTTACAGTGTAACCAAATCAATAAATGAATTAATACCTATGTAATGTGTATATACAAAAGCAAATTCAGAATGTATCGTTATTAGCTAAATAAGTCGATTTATTAAAAACTTTTGTACTATTTTTTTCACATTAACCCATAGCGTTGTAGACAAAATATGGTAATTCATATTATAATTCAAAATTGACTAGCTTAAAGGAAAATCCTATAATCTTTTAAATTAATAGGTTAATTAACTAATAGGCTGCTGTGGCTGTATTTATTAGTAGTCCAACTTCTTTGCCACATGGTGTGAAATGTACTTACAAGTAAATGTTCTCTCTTGTCACCTCCAGTAAAGTTTTAATTGCCCCCCCACCACACCCACCCACATGCAGTATTTAGAAATTACCAGAAGCTTTTTGCTTTTTTAATTAGTCCTCGTCAGGTCAGGCACTGACTTTTCACTTTAAATGTCAGAGCCTTTTTTTTTCTCATTAATTTCATACAAGATGAACACAGGTCAATTAAAGGCAATCAGCTTTTCATTTGTAGGTTTAACTTCAGGGTTTGACTGTTAGTTGTTGGTTCAATAGGAAATTGTAACATTGATTTTGACCTCTGACCTCTAAGACTATTTGTTGCATTCTAAATATCCAGAGCTTTTGAGATTTTGTCCCTTCATGGCCCTAATGCATTGCATATATTCTTTTTAGCCACCTGTGGTTGTTGGAAATGACCCGTTCTTTGACTTGATCTCCCCAAATGATCATCTCACCTGCATTGAGGTAGGATTTTCTCTATTTCTCTAAAATTCACAATTTTCACCTGCTCCAGTTCGACTCCACAGCTGAAACTTTTACCCGTTTTTCCCCTCTGATCACTGATCATTAGATGATGAGGTGGATCATCAGTGAAATCTGTATTGTTTGGACGCTGTATCACAATGGGTCTGCAGAGCAAGACGGCTGGAAACCTTGGGAGCACATCTACTCGCTGTGTAAAGCCGCGAAAGGTCACGTACCGCTCTACAACCAGTTTGGAAAGTACGTGGTGCGGCTCTACTGGTTGGTAAGCCTCACGATAGTACATGCAAATACTACAAAAAAAATTTTAACATCACATTTTCAATAAAATCTTTTAGACAGCGAGGTTGGTTGAAAACAGTTCACATCAATAAAAACATACTACTTAAGTACTTTGCCCGATTAAAGTTGTAATTGTATTACAAAATACAAATTTTACTTTAAAGTACAAACAATGAATGCATTTGAAGTTTCAAAGAATTTGTTTCTTGGTTTATATTGACCAGCATGCAGCAGGTCAGGAGTTATTTGCTGGTACTGCTCCTTGAGGATTAGTACTACGACCACTGTAGAAATACTGTCTTCATCCATTGCCTGGTGAATCCACCTGATCAATGAGCAGTGCGTTTCATCCTCAGAGAGAAGGTCTTTCACTGCACTGAAAAAAAAACAACAACAATTTTTCAAATGTAATAAATGTGTCACTCTGTGTGAAGGACATTTAGCTTTTTTCCCATCTTTCCAAAATTGAGGTCGACTGAAAAAGAGACACGGCTAAAAGTGAAACACACTGACTCCTTGCCTCCTTGACAAACAGCCATGACACGATTGCAGGCATCTGTCCCCGTGCCAACCAGAGCACACTAACAGATGGTTGTGGATATAGTGTGAAGCACCCAACCCCCAGTTCTTGTTCTGGTTTCCTGGCCTGTTTCACTCACAGGCTCACCAACATTTCTTCACTGTCTGATCCTTCCTTCCTCCACTCGTACAAATATGCACCACTTTTCCTTTAATCCACCCTCACTCTTCTTCTGTCTCTATCCTGTGTCTTTGCCCACTTGCATCATTTTGCCCTGTCATCTATGGGCATGTCAGACTTGTTCCTCAGGGCGATGGGTTGACAAGACAATGGAATAATGTGCAGGAATAACCGCATCTTTTTTTCCCCCCTTGTCCACTATTGTCTGTGTTTATCCTCACTGACAACAGAGGTGCAGCTGTGGAGAGTCGGTGGGATTGTCACCTGCCTCGGCTGTTTCCTCCAATCAGTGTGAAGAGTAAACACACCACGGCACAGACAGCATGTAACAGGCTCCGACACCACACTGAATTCGATTGCCAGGCTGTAACAATGAAAGACAAAGTGTGAAAAATGATTACAGTCTGAACCTCGGAGTTTGTAGAGACACTGGTGTGAAACAGGCTCGAGGTTTTGTGATGACGTACAACTTCATGACAGCTTTTCACCTCAGTCAGCTGTTCACTGGTCACCTAGTGCTGTATGGTTTCCTCCTGTTGTTCAGAGCCTCAATGCCCTCATGGGTAGTTTATTTAATTAGGTCAACAATGTCAGTTTGAAGAGGGGAGTAGGACCTACTGTACTTTAATGATACAAGTGATGTGATAATGAAACCATGACCATGAAACATGTCATACCTGTTAATAATAGACAATAATTTATTTGTTTATTAAAACATGAAAATAGTGATGCTCAGTTAAAGTGACACTAGAAACCAGTGTTTTTTTATTTTTCTTTGTTATATATAATATTTCTATGTAATAATCCCTTCTGCAGTTCCCTTGATTAATTAAGGATATTCTTTTATCCACGGTTTTATTATTATCTTCTCTAAAGTGTGATGTATGTGAAGGGAAGTAAAATTGGTTATATAATAATAATAATAATAATATAATTTCTGTTCCACATCCATTCAGTCTTCACTGCTTGTCCTCCTCTCAGGGCTCCTGGAGGAAAATATTGGTCGACGACCAAATGCCGTTCGATGAAGACAACAACCTCCTCCTCCCTGCCTCCGCCTCTCAGGCTGAGCTCTGGCCAATGTTACTGGCTAAGGCTCTGATTAAAGTGGCCAGCATAAAGTGAGTCTCTGTTCATTCCAGCAGACACGCAGTACTAAGCATTTTAGCAGCGACCCAAAAAGTTGGCAAACACTGTAGTCTCAGAATAACCAGCCGTGACCAGTTAGTGTAAAAGTAACAGTGTTTGGTTGTTGTTGTTGTTGTTACACAGTTTAAATCAGATGAGCATCATATCCATTTTCATTGGATTTCAAATGAAACAGTTTGTCCACTCTGTGGAAATGTCCGTACCTCCAGTCGACATCATGCACCTGTGGGAACATCCTTCACCTGGTGTTTATTCTCTGCCTCAGGCTGAATCAGCTGTGGTGACACACTGGCTGACAGTGTACATGTCACTGATGGAAATCCATGCCATGTGTACGGGTGACATTTACAGTGTCCACAAAAAAAAGTTTCAGCATCAATTTTTCATTCCAGTCCAGGAAACACCACATCCCCTCCCTCTTTCTCTCTTGGCCCCCCCAGTATGAATTATTAATAATAATAAAAAAGAAAAATCTTTTTCCTGAACTTGGACTGAACTCGTCCAGGTCTCTACTGGGTTATTATCTAGTATTAAGGGTCTTTTTCTTTTAGCAAATTTGGGCTTTATGTGACAAAAGCTGGTTAGGTTTTATTTTTTTATACTTCATTTTCCATGTTGATATTGATCCAGGTTTCTGTAGCTCCAGGTGATTTTTTTTATTAATTTGTTTTTCTTTATCATTTCAGCTTTCTTGTTTTTTTTAAATAACTTTTTTATCTATATTTTTAGCTGTTATCAGTGTTATTTTTCAAATATTTTTTTATTTCC